ATCAACCTTAGAATAAACGAGTTCACAATTTCCTATGAATATAAGCTAACAGGGATGCATCTCTCAGGAGTATCTCCTAAGTTGTTACCTTCGTTGAGGAAAATACGAGGCTGCAGCGCCGTATACGACAAATACAAAATCCGAGACTTATTGACATTGTCCTGCGATAGGCGAAAACTGAAATTTTATTGTGGTCTAATGATCGGCGGTATTCATCTAGCGCAACCACCATTGAAAGAAACGACCTCACGTGTTCAAAGTGATGTAGAGATAAAATTGACATATTAATCTGTCGATATCCGTCATCTACATGCATCACACACTCGCTATGCACGTGCATGCCCACTGACGTACATAATAGGAAACTGATTGTGTTTCTCAGCTACATAATCTCGCGTGATCATTTCTCACACGCAGTATACCTTTCCTCATACTTAGGACCGAGTTCGAAAGGTCGAGTTCGATTTTCTCTTAACTCTAATCAAAGCAAAACTTGATTTCGAGCAAAGTTCGAATCATCGCGTGTGGCTAAATCGCCACCTGGCTAAATCGTACCCTGACAAGACAGAACTGGAAACAGCCGTCGGCGAGGACCTCTTCTTCTTTCGAAAGGGTCTCGCGCAGCTGGGTAGTTTCTCTTTTCTGTTCGGTTTGTTAATACACGGTTCGTACTCAGGCTGAGGAGGAGTGTTAAACACCAAATACATTTCTTTGCTTTTTTATGCCTTACGCCCGAGAAGAAGAAATCGCCTTCGGGTTCGACACGTTAGATGACGAAATGGAGGGCACCAAAGAGCTGGATAGAAAGGCGTGCCATCGTTGTGTACGGATGTGAGGAGACGCGTGCGGCCGCTCGCTGTGTTTCTGTATACATGTGTGCATGCATATATGTATCCGTTATGCATTGGTTGTATACGATGTCACCTAGACTCCACAAGCGCCGAGGCGGTTTCCATGTGCTTCGTTCTGTTTTGTATTTCTTTGTCTGTTGACTCAGCTAGCCATCTTTTTTCAACCCTATGATTGTTGTTGTTGCCTTTTCTTGTTTGGGAAAACAGAACGGGGACATAGAAAGGGCGAAGACCCGCTCGTTTACATGCCATACGTCCCCTTGCCCGCTTTTTCACTGCCCCGCCCTGCTACGCGACTAGCTCGAGCATATTCGGGCGTGTTCGGGCACGATTATAGCTGATTTGCATATCGTTGCATTGCGGTCTCTTGGTGTATTCCCACTTTCCATCGGCGGACACTTTTCGCATGACGGAAAATCGGAACATGGAAAGCGGAGCCCGTAGCATTAAAAGATGCCAGCGAGCGCTGTGAGGCCCGGTAGAAAAACTCGTCGCCTCGATTTTCACGGCAATCCTGTTCTCGACCAGTAAAGCGGCGCTTTCGACTCGTTTAGTTCCTTAGCAGCGAGACCAAGTTCCAAGCTGTTCTGTCATAGGACTTTATGTAAGTACCGAGAGAAGCGGACGTTCTAAGGGCATCCTAAAATTAAAAGATCAAGCTTGACCATGTTGTACTCTTCATTTCGTCATTAGTTTGGCGAATCTTTGTGTGACGCATAGGGTTTAAAAGGAACAGCGTAGAAAAGTTCGTCGCGATTGGGGGCGGCGGCCACAAGAACCCAAAGCAGTTCATCAAATCCGCTAGCTTACCACGGGTACCCACAAGCGCTACTGCTATTGCACTACGAAGATGAGAAAGCGACGCGCACAATATATGCGCAGTGCTTTCCGACGCTGACGACAAAGGTGTTTCAGTTGAGAAAGCGTCAACACTTTGCCAAGTAGATCAATTAGTAGATATGCCTCGCCCTTAGCGGGAGACCCGTTCCCTCGGAAGACGATGAAGATTATTTACAGCTGTTACAGTAATGTTGCTAAGTAAAAATGAAATTAAGAACATTAAAAACAAAAAAAAAACGCAGTTTTTACAAAAGATATTCTCATGATCGGTTAACATTTACAACTGTTGGTATTGGATATGCCACTAATATTATACATGGTGTAATAGATGAGAAATTCAGAATGAAACAGTCAGCTGTGGTAGTCTGTGGGTCGAAAAACTTTAAGTTTATTCCTGTTTAAATAAAGCACATATACATTCTTTCTGAAGAGAGCAATAACTATATGGCAACATGATTTTCACGCACCATAAACTTTCTCAGAGGAAACGTTGTATTCAGGATCACATTCAGTATAATAAACAAATTCCATCTATTATTACGATACATATATAATGTACGTGTTCACACAGAGATTTTCAACATTCTAGAGACACAACATGCGTATGGGGCGTGGCTTTTTTCTCTAAAATCTAACACTGTCACCCAACATACGGATGTATAACCGACCCGAACCATCCGGGAAGCTGTGCTTCTAGCTGCACACCTGGACCGCGACGCTATCTAGCAAGATTATGTAAGGCGTGCACAAAGCATTTGCGCCTCTAGCGATTTAATAAAAAGAAAAAGAAGATTATATGCCGCACGAATCACGCTGGCGAAAATGCAGAAGTTATAGTTGGATCTCTGTAATCCACCATACTAGCCAAACATTGCTTCCGCAGATTAATTTTCAAAATGTCGACAATTTCTTATTAAAAAATTATAGTAGAAATTGTTTTTTGAAGCTTAGACTATCGTACCTCAGACTTCTATTTAAACACAGCACTAACGTCACCATCTAAATGACAGCATATGACAAATGGTAGTAGTGCGTATTTCGACTAAAACAAAAGAGTTAGGCCTATGAGGAAAAAAAATTAGAAAAAGCAGAGTTGGAAAAACATATATATATATATATATATATATATATATATATATATATATATATATAAGAAGGAAATGAGGCTGGTATAAGGAAGGTTATTTTTCAAAGCTGCACCTCCTCGTTTTATGAATCGATCCTGCCAACGCAATATTTTTGCTTTCAAGCCTAAAACCGTTTTAAAGTTGTGTAAACAAATTCGGAAAATACATTTACTAAATCTATACACTCTAGACATAACAAGGGCTAAGCAATTCTGCACGAGAACGGCTAATGGGGTTAGGCTACAGATCGCGAGAAAAGGACAAGCAGTTTCGCACATGCTGTCTCCCAGCATGATAACCCAAGTCGAAGGGGTCAACAAGGGTGGTGAGAAGAACAATGGGGCTATGTGAAATAGCACGCATTTGAGTAAATACGGATGGATATAATGGTAATTATATGTATTTCTAGAAAAAATAAACGACAGGTTCTACAAGTGAACTACGAACTAGCTTCACAGCAAAAGTTCACAACACATAGGGGCAGGATTAAGCATAGTATATACATAGGAAGAAAAAAAATTAGCTTTTACAACGGAAGGTCTTTAATAGCATTGATATACATTTATCATAAAAATAGTGTCCCAAATATTGAAGCTCCATTAAGTTAATAACGAGCACAGATTTCTCAAACATACAAGAAATCGAAGACACGTAGCAAACGGGCTGGTAAAGATATCTGAGGATTAACTATCGTTGTTCAAATACAGGAATACGACGCATAGCTATAATAGCACCATCAAACCCACTACACTGTAGATTCATTATATTTTGAGTGCTACGTGCGATTCCTTGAATGTTTGTCGTTGTAGGTAGAGAAAGCTCCGCCCGGTTCTTAAAGGCCTTCGTCAAACCTAGATGCGAAACGAAGGCTCCAGAAAATAGCAGCCATATAAAAAAAGGACTTTGCACTGAGATGGTCTTTCATAAGAGGAAGGCCCGCTTTTGTGTATTGGCTATGAAAAACTTATAATTTCAATTGCATTGTCACATACGTAAGTTTAAATTTACGCATAAAGTGTATGGCTAATAATTGCACTTAGCCTGGTATGAAAATAAATGCATACTACCATTTATTTAATAATTTAACAAAAAAGATAATAATGTAAGTCTATTTGAAATCGCGGTAACGTATTATCTTATCCTAAATATTATTACTGTTCATCTTCAATTTTTAGAGATACAAGTTCTATCTGAGTATAGATTATACAGTTAGAGAGTAACGGCTAAGTTGCGGTATGTCATTGAGTTGTCTTAATATATTATTGAAGCTGAAGTCATTGAGCTGATTGAATAATAGTTCCTATTATAGCCGTACCTTCTAGAGTCACTTACTGATAAAGGGACGACCTATAAGCATGAGGGCGAGAAGTTTGTTAGTTTAACTTCTAAAAGCAACTCTGAACAGCGTATTCTATATAAGCGTCAATTTTAAGAGGCCAGCTTCAACAATACTTTTAAAAAGCTAACGTCCGCGCAGATGTATTTAAATGGCTGTCTATACGTTTCTCCATATTTACAGGAGCGAAAAAAAACGCTAATTACAACGAATAGTTCTCGAGATCTGCTTCGGGCAAATTTCATATTTAGTAAAATATATTAGAGAAAATTAAACTTTCGTCGGCTACAAGTTGCATTTCATTGGACTTTTTCAACAGTTTCAGTTGTGGATCAATACTTACGTGTAGGGGCATTTTAGCTGTTGTAGCTATTATATGTCTGGCGTAAATTTTTCTTTGCTGTGGAAATTAGCGGACATCACTGTACCCCATTCCTTAAGCCCATGATCACTATCAAGTTCTCGAAACTTCAACTGTGCAAGATGATAACAAACGTAAAATTCATATATAATAGCACATGGCTAGCAAGATGTACAAGCACTTAGCTACGTGATGCTGATACTAAATTTTACCTTATTGACTGGTACTAATATTACTAATACGTATAAATAGACTGCTACTGGTATGATTTAAATGAGCTGTTAAAGTAGCTAGGGAAACAGTGCGTGTTGTTTACAATTAATAGCAACATAATATGATTAAAAATGCGATAAAAGTAAAAAAGGTTTCCCTGCCTGTCAAAACAAAGGTTCTACGTTAAAGTGCCGTTTTGTTGTTTTTCGGCGACGATTTTTACTATTTCTTTTGTGATTGATCACATATGACCTTGCTTGTTTCCGGAGTTAGCCGTAGAAGGAGCAATCGTCCAGGTTATGCGTACTCATAGCGGTCCCCATGTCCAACTGAACCGCTGCGCCTGGCTCCATTCCCTCTATCCTCGATGGCAGGTGCCTTCGCCAATCGTCCGGCTATGACCACATTAAAGCGCCATTGTTTAGTCAGCTGAAAGGACGAGGGAAGCAGTGATGTCCTGCGACCCTTCGAAGTAGCGTTTTGCGCCGACACTGGCTCACATCATCACGTTTGAGGGACAGCATCTTCACAAATTTCACGCCCACCTCGCACTACGGTCAGCACTACTAATTCTCTTAGCTTTTCGGACTTTCAGTTCTCGGCCGACCCGGGGATCCAGGTTTAAGCAATTATATGCCACGAGAAACGGCTAAGGCACCGTCTCCATGCAGTCGAGGAAGCTACAGGAAATTTATAAGCCATTTCATCCCCCAGCTTAAGCTGTCTTTGAGACAGTCATTTGTTTAAAGGAAAAAAAAATGAAATCACGAGACCATGATATGAACCTCGTGGAGTGAAAGTGATTGAACACCCGGTCCGGGAGATTATGAGTCTGCTGGGGATCAATGGTTAAAACAAATAATAATAAAAATAATAGTAAGTGCTGATGGAAGCGTTATTCAAACCGTTTTATTTAGTGACTAATTTTACATGTAAAGTTTTTAGTTGAGTTAGGTATTCAGTTCAGAATAACTTTTCCATATGATCATGAGCACGGAAACTTATTTCAATTGAAAAAATTACCTTCTCGTATGCAAATTTTTTTTGCAAACCACAGCGTGCATCAGCAAAAGTACAATAAAATGGCCGGTAATAACGTTCGAAAACATACATACTTAGCCAAATAGTATTATATTTAGACCAGGCTTCGCTAAAAGTTTTACTCAAAGGTAACTTATCTGCTAAAATATATATTACGGAGCCTCGCCCTAACAGGAATCACTCCTACTTCGTCTTCAGGCCAGATGCACAATTAGCTAGATCGGATCTCTTTCTAGAGCCCGTAGTCTATATTATTCAGAAATTCTTTCAAAATGTTTCTTGGCTCTCGTTACGTCTCTCAGAACTAATGCGTACGATTCTATCGCAACAGTCCGTTACCATCAGAAGTATTGTCCAAACCAATCACGACTCATTCTACCTTGTTTGCCATCACTCATGAACAGAGATAACATACACAATATACAACATACACCCACCCTCTTTCGAGACATCACATCGAAGACGGCTTTATACTTCTTACATAGTCTTACCTTTATACGCAAATACGGTATACATGACGACGCAAAAGGGTTAAATAACAATCTACAACAATATTAAACCTTGTACTGGACTAAAGTTTACTGAACCAAACTTACCTCTAAGTTAACACGTGCAAATAATTACCCCGTAGCATCCTGTAGCTGGTAGAATTGTGCTGTTTCGTGAAAGAACCTGTAAAGACCCTCGGGGGTTCGGCCAATCAACGTTCAAGTAGTCAGTCTTTCATTTGTTTTAGCGAGTGGTAGTGCGGTCTAAGTCAGCTAAAAAATAAACCTTTTAAGAAAGAGGGTTTATGTGCTGGGCCCGTTCAAGGCGAGTCATTAAACCTAGGCTTGATATTCAATATTTCTTAAGTGTGCACAAACTTGTTATCCCTAAACATGTGTCTCTATATAAAGCGTACTGATCTACCTGTCAAAGTCAGCCCCCATTCCAAGACAGAAATTGGCGATTTCATGGACTCAATAACTAATATAAGCCACAACACATTAGACCCATTAATGCGGCGTCCAACTTACGCGTTAAGCATACAACTTACTTGTCGCATTATCTGATCTGCACCACAGCGGTTTTACTAATTTTACTTATTTACCCAGTCGAAGTTCTTACAGAAATGCATCAATAAATGCTCTAAATCTAGCGTCTGAAAGAAAAAGAAAAGCACTAATTTAAAACAGAACAACAAATAATGTCTTAAAGAAGCGATTTCCAATCGTTACAAGACGCTTAGCGGAGAAAATCGTGTAGACCACCATTCACTATTGGGTTCTAGACATTTAGATCGAGCAGTAATTGCATGATTTCCCTTTATTGTATACGGTCACCATCATCCCTTACCCAAACAACATACGCGTATCTATGCTGGAATAGATTAATCCAGCCACGCGTTTGGCCAGCCATGATTCTACTGCAGCTGATATCTTTCGTCATGCTACTAAAAAATCGTTGGTTTTTACCTTGCGCTTTTGTCATTTACGAGCTGCGTAGACATACAGACGTGCAGGCAGTTAGGCAAACAGTACAGGCTCATCTGAGCCAGGAGTACAGGACAAACGGGGCTAAGCCAAGGACGACAAACATGCACGTACCCCGTACGTTTCACCCCACTCCATCTTGACGCATTATGACGCACCGACTATAGGCTACTCTATGGCACGTACTTCTTTGCATGAACAACGATGAGCATTGGATTATGATCACTTGGAATCGTGCCGTTGCTGGCGTTACCGCTAGCGACTAGTGCCCGCTTTTCATTTAATGTCACTGCGAGCTATCGTAGTGATAGTATGAGAGAAATATTTTTTTTCCGCAGGATGAAACACGCTTATTGTTTTGTTACATTTCTCTGTTTTATATGACATATTTTAACACATTTGCACAAATAATCCAGGTCTTAAAAAACAGAAGGAAAATTGCAGTATAAAAGAACAACAGAAAGATCTTGCGGTACAATGGACAATAATGAGAAGACATCTGTAACAGTAAAGTAGCTTAGTGATGATATGTAAAGGGGTGATAGAGCTTTTCTCTTCTTCTTTGTCTTTAAATTACCGGTGTCTATGTACTGTAAATTTCTGTAAAATTAAGAGCAATAAGGACTTTTCGGTGCGGTTCTTTTCAGTGATGTATGTTTTTACCTTAGAAGACTTTTTCTATCGGGTATGATGTCGAATTTTACCAGCGTTGTACTCTATTGTATAATTAAACGATTATTATTTTATTTCTCCTCTATACTTGTGAGTGATCAATCCCTTCTATCGAACAGTCTATGATTAAGACCAGTAATACTGTTTTTTGCAGCGATGCCGTCCAGTCGTCTAGCAGTCACCGTTACTGTTTATATTATATACCTTCTTACCATAGCTGATACGCTAGTTGGAGCCCTGCGAACACAGCCACAGTTATACAGCTTTGAATAAAAGAAGACGGTTTTGTTTTGCCATTGTAATAATTAATTAATTTTTATTACTATGGTGGCGCTAGTCAGGGCTACAGTTTAAACTTCAAATGTGACTCAGAGAATTTTTCAAGTTAGTCGAGTGCACTTCACCAGCTTGTACGAACAAATATTTCCTTATAAACTTGTTATTGTACCTATACGCGTGTAAGAACAAAATTACTAAGAGGTACATGTAAAGAGATCTACCAAATATAGTTATATCCAGTTGAGATGATGTGTGGCGATTCCATACGACCAGAATAGCACTTTAGATAGATGACCTTAGCGAGAGGGGTAATTGCACCCTTCCTCCAACAGCGAAGGATGACACTTAATCAAGAGTCAATAAAATGTCGAATTCAGGGTTAGCAGCACTATATTAATCGTTAGAATTTCAATGAAGAGATTTCATAGACCGCAGTATGTTTACTGAAAAATCGTTAGGCCAGATAAGGAGCACTGCCTGTAATCACTCTCCCATAGACATTTACTCTCCACGGCTTCAACTGCTTACTCTGCCACGTCTATATCTCGCTGCCCCCCACCGTAGCTCTTCACGTCACGATCAATGCGTAAGTATGGAAAGGCGCTTACAACAACACGAGAAAATGCAACCCATCTGAATTTAATCGCGTCTATCGGCACCTGCCTTGTTATAGGTGCCCGTGTCCGTACGGTCGCATAACTGTACACCAGTAGCATTAGAGCTCACCGGAGCTCTTCACTCTCGTCATTAAAAATAGAGTTGTCTTTTTCGATCGACCTCCGATCTCTGGCTACGTTTCTTCCGTGTTTCGAGTTTTACGCCCAGTATCACCGTTAGACATTATATCAAACGGCTAGTTTGAAACGAAACGTGTATATGCCCGAGTTCGAATCTAGATCCTAGCGTGTTCCTAAGATAGCAGGCCAATAGTTGCCCACTAAGCGGTCACGGGGACTGGCCGTTTTCTTTCTCAGGAGTTTTTGACTAGGTAATTTTAGTGTCAAACGCTATCGGAGCTCCGTCCTTATCATCTCGTTGTGCCCAGTGCTCCACCGGCATTAACTGGGTGGCAGGTTCTTCATTAGCCTTTTGCGTGATTGCCCACCGAACGATGCGACATTCAACCGCCGAACAAACTACAGTCAGCAGGAGACAAGCAGCGACCAAATGTGGGCGATGTTCAACTGGCTTGCCACACATCGCTTCCGTTGTGTAGCTTCGCTTTGCTAGACTTCCAGGATAACAGCGAACGTCAATAAAGCCGATTCTGTACCTCTGATGCTGCCGTAGACCCGTGTTGGTTAGGTAGGTTAGTAAACCCGTACAGATGGTTAAGTATATAGCGGGTTAATGTACGTAAGTCTTCCAAGTCTCCTAGGCTTCTAACGAGTCTTCTTTTAACTCATAGTTTGGTCTCCTTTTAGCTAAGACTTCCCAGAACCTTTTTATCGGATCCCCGATGGCCCACCTGCTACGTCATCGAGCGTGTGGCCCGCGGCATACCTGAGGGTAGATACTGCAGACGGGTCTACTTTTCCTAGGTCAGGTTGGACGGAATCGAGATGCTCGGACAGCGTCTCAAGATACGGGAGATCCAAAAAAGCGTAAATAGGCGACCTAATATAAGGGCGCTTGCTCACTAAGGCTGAGCCTGATACGTACCCACGCTCTGTTCCGTCTGTAATCATCAATATCGGACGTTTTCTGTATCCAACCTGTTCCTATTCAAGCCCTTTCGCAAGCACGGCAACCTCAGTCTAATTTTGTTCCAATCAGTCGAGAAGTGTGGGTGCCGTCAGTTTTTTTTTTATAGGATCAAGCTAGGCATGAAAAGAAGGTTATCTCAATCCAACTCTTTCACCGCTCCAGCGTAGTAGTCTATAGTGTAGCATACAATTGCGGCTGGTACACCCCTATTGGAGATCCCGTTCTATCCTCTATCTTGTTGTTCGACAAGATGGCTGAGTTATGTATTGGCTAACCGGCTAGTTGTTGGCCACTAGGTAGCAAGCTGCTAGGTGATGGCTTCTGGCTGAAGACCATGCAAGGCGAAAACGAGCGGTGTCGAAGATTCCCCTGAGCATATGGCAGAAAGGGGGACCGAACCATAGGGCAACATAAATATGAACACTTTATTGACACGATGGAACGGTTGGCGGAGTCCACGTAAGGGGTTTAGGGCTAGTCGTAGTGGGCGACCCGAGTGCAAAGGTAGGCGTATGGGTAGGCGACTGACCAGTTTCCCAGTAAATGTACGGGTGTCTGAGATCAGCAAGACAACCTCAGTTGTGTACCCGCCTCGGTCTCTGCTACAACCCCCTAACTCTTGCATTGCCTAGGGCAACGGTGAAGCGTCAAGGGGCAAACTGGATCAGCGGAAGACCTAGGAAACGTCCCCTCGCCAAAGCGAGTAACCGATCTACAAAATGCCCCTACACATATTCCATTCATATTACCGTCCATGTTTCGAAGCTGCGCTAGATGTAACAAGCGGTCAAACCTTTACACCTCACAACCTCGCTAACGCAGTGCAGTTTTTCTGCCATTACAGAAAAGTAAACGCCCGTCTCGTTAAAATATAGAACACTGCATGGTATGATTAAAAAAAAAAATAATAATGTGCTTGTTTTTCTCGTTGTGGTTCAGGGCATATTCTGCATACAAATGCGCAAAACGTGCTTTCTCTGTCACTTACGTGCACGAAAAAATAATTAGCAAACACGCGCTATTCAATCATATATCCTGTCCGGTCCCAACAGCTGTACACTGAGAATAGATTTCTCATTTCATGCCATTTACAGTGGCTGTTGGATCTGAGGGGTGGTGAAGATCATGATTGTTTCTCTTAAATAGTGCTATTAAGATTTCATAAGTAATTACGGCAAAGCTGCAAGGCACTCGGCGGCCTTCCGCGTTCAATGAATGGCTGAGATTAACGCAATAAAAATCTTATAATATTGATCTACTGTATCTCACCTATGATCGCAGATTCCATTGAGGAACGAACACTTATACTATGAAATAGAAATAAGCTGAAATCTAAAGCTCAGCTATTTTTTTTTTGAACAATGGAGTTTTCATATTAGCTCACCTCGTAACCGCGTTTGTTTGGCCACGAGAATAGTATATTGTTTCCCCGCACCATATTAGAACCTAGACCTCGCTATGCTATAAATAATTGGTTCTGTGAGGAGCTCTGTTGCAAAGGATTTCGTGCCGCTTCCACAAAAAAGGTACGATCAGTCGGTGGATCTTTAGAAATTTCGCATCCTAGGAACCATGGACGAATGCGTTTTCGTACTATCCGGGAACCCGGAGCCGTTCCTTAAATAAGACTGAATACTAGATAAAGCAAACAAATAGGAACTGCGCGGGCTCGATTGAGTAAATGAGGGATCCGATGCTCCACTAAGCGAAGATGCAACTATAGTGTCAAAGGGGCCACGATACCAACAAGACAGAAGTTCTATATCTTATTGCGTTAACGTCTTCGTGATTAGAACTTTTGGGTGCAGCTAAACCTATTCCTAAGAACGGTGTGAGAATGCGCTGCTTTTAAATGAGAGATTTGGCTGCGCATAATAGAAGAAATCCTTCGTCGAAAAATTTGCCAAGGACTCTCGGAGTCGTTAAGGTGGGACTGAGTCCTATGAAATGCTTGGTGTAACATCGCATACAGATATCGACGCAACCCCGTACCCTGCATAGTTTGTCCACTTTATTAAACCTTTATCAGGCATAGTCAGTTTGTAAGAGTGCGTGAAGCTTAGCATCGGTACCAAAGCAACGCTATAGCTCTATCAAATGCAAATGTTTTTGCCTGTTTCAGGTTTTTCTGGTTAGTTTTCAGATTCAAACAAGGTAAAATTTGTTACTTGTGTTTCACCGATCCATTTTACAGCGTAACTTGATTGGTCTGATGAACATTTGTTGAAGTATATTAGTTAAAATTTAAATAGCAGCTAATCGAGTTTGGGCCAAGCCGTGTGCTACAAAGAAAAAGCAAGGCATCAAACGCCATAAGGATATCGGCTATGCCTACCAAAGGATAGATTTGGACGGTGACAAGCAAAAATGTGTACAGTCTACCGCGCAGGCCAGCAGCTGAAGTCCTACGCAAAACGAAATTACTGTTGCCAACGGTCGCATTCGAAAGATACATTGTTAAACCTCTATTTTCCAAACGGTTCTTTTAGAATAAGTCTGATTCCATTGAAGATTGAAAGTATATAATTGCCATGTGACGCTTAGGTGCGCTTCCTAGTGATGTTAGAAATTATCTATATACTTCATAACTGTTTGCGTCTCGATAAAGCTTATCAGTTCTATTCTAGTCTACAACATATGTATATGATATTACTTTGATAAGTACCAACTCAACTTCTACAACTTGAACTACAAGCAAATATGAACAGAGCCCAATGCGACATTTCACGTTTATACACCACGCATGGATACGCGTTAGTTTAATGAGATGGCATTTGTCCAGTAACAGGAACAGGTACACAAAATCCCATGTCACGCACTCTGTGATACGACAATCAGCGTTACTAAATTCACTAGTTTTTTTCAGCAAGCAGAGGATATGATACCTATTAAAAACATCGAAAGGCTCCTCTCTTTACTCTCTGTATACTCTGTAAGCTAGTTAGAAATGTCTGAAAATTCAGCCATCTCAGTCGGAGTCTTCGGTAATCGTATCAGTTTACGACTAGAAAACTGATCCTGACTATATCAGATCTCAGTCCACTTGATGCATCCAATCGGCATGTGAGCGTATTCAGATATTGTTGACTAGGCGAAGCCTGATTACGTTGTCTCGCATCAGCTAGCCAAGGTTCGTTGTCTGACCCCATGTTACCTAACGTCGACCTCCTCACGATGGACAGCTATTATGCGCCAGATACTGGGGTCGCTGCTAGGGACACATAAACACTTGGCCGCATAACAAAGACTTCTTCGCCTCAGGCTTGGTAGTAATACTTCAGCGAGATCGGACAGCGGTGGTGTATTAACCTCCATAAGAATCAGATTGTTACCATCAACCGAGAGGGTTCCTGATTGACCATGCCTAACGACGGTGTACACTTTTTCCTGTAACCTTTCCGATCTTGACCTGTATATATAGTATCTGCTTTTCCGAAAGTTTCCCTATTTCTTATTTCCTAAAACCTAGTGTATCTTTCTATTTATTATAATATTTATCAGTTTGGCGTTTATTGTGTAGAATAGACGTAATATACAGGGTTAGGCACAGAAGAGTCCACATGGTTGAGGATCCTGGCTTGCGATGTGGTTAGTAGTGTTAGAGGATTATTTTTCATGTCCGAAAATTACTTTGCAAACGACATCAGTTAACCCAAGAATTATCGTACAAGATATCATAAGAGCAGTGATTCTGAGAGCAACATTAACGCAATCTGAAACGTCTTCGAAATGAACCGCAAGGCCTTCCAGACATACGAAACGAAAGCTACAATATACTTCTATCTATAACAGCTCGCTCGCTTCGCAAGCTCTGAGCACAATCTCGTTTATGTATTAAAGGCTGTCCGACTTTGAACTACCCCAAGGTAAAGGACGGGATCATTAACGAACTCCTCGGGCGGCTCTTGCCTGCGAGTTTACACCTATCTACATCCAACCCAGTCTTGGTCATCGGTGGAAAACGTAAATTATCCCTATGATTTCCATCGGCGCGTCATCGCAGCGGTGGACAAAGCTAATATAGTCCACTAAAACCGCTATCATTTTTGTGCTATGAACAGATCTTGCAAACAACTCTGTACCTACCATCGTAACGCGTTTTACGTGACTGCCGTGAATGTAGGCATGTGGCCGAGATGATATCACTATAAGGATACTGTGATGGTCATTGTCTCACGTATACATCATCCAGCTCTGGCCGCCACCGATTCCTATATAGGTGTATAGTGAGTCCCTTATCTGGTGCCGATATACTCAACACGTGCCCAACACAAATAAGCTATTTAAGACTAACAAACACAAATACATTTCTTCTAGTGGCTAACTGCAACAGTTTTCATCAGTTAAGTGAAACGTTGTACGTAGACATAAATCTACACTATACATATGTACATACCATTAGACAAGATGAAGCTGACACTTGCCTCGTTCTCTACACTTTGCTGAGTTTCCTTTTGATGTTTCAAATCCGTCTCTGACATAGGAACTCGTCGATCAGATTCGTACAGTTCGGAGTCGTCGGCCGGTGTTTTTACTTCTAAAAAATTCTGTTGAGCCTTTTTCAAGCTGGTCGCTATTTCTGTTGTTCGACCCCGACCTCAATAGCCGGTTACAGGCGGATATCTAGGAACTTGCAATGTATTGCCAAATAGTCCGGGCAGAATGTGGCGTTTTTGGTATGTCTTGTTCCGTACGTCAAACCTACAGGGTGCCAGTGTGTATGGCCATAGCCAGTTCTTTTCTCCATTATTTGTTAGGGCCGCACCGTTTCACGTACTTTTAAGTTTAAGAACAAGCTTTTCTATCCCACCTTTTTCCACGCGAACCCTCTTGCTTTCTCTCTCTCTCTCTCTCTCTCTCTAGCTTTTCCCTTTTACGGGTGGGAACACCGGACCGACTGCGACCTGCGTTGGGGCATCACTTCCTACCGGTGACTTTTTCTCCCGTCCTCTTGCCACGTAGCGTTTTCTTCGGACTCGCCGAATATATTTGTTCGATGCTTGCGCGCTTTCTATCCGGCCCTTCCTCGCGTATGTTCGCTTAGTTGTCCGACAGAGTTTCGCGCTTTCAGTCAACGGACCCAGCGAGAACGAGGATAACGTGCGAGACGGAAAGGGGAAAAAAGCAAGAGCGAATGGTACAATAGTTGAGGAGCGAGCGGCTACGGGTGTTGGTGCTGGAAACACGATTCTGTTACTAAGATCCGTGGGAGCCTCCTCTCTTTAGCCCATTTCATTTCTACACTCCATTCGCATATGCCCCATGGCTCTGGTTCGCTCTAAATCTATATTTTTGCAATGGCTTTTGACGCAGCAGCGGCAGAAACGGCGGTCCAATCGCTCCAATCACTACCAAGGCCAGCATCGTTGCTCTAGACGTTTGTAGTATAATACAACAGCTGCTGTTTCTGCGTAACTCTACGCGTCGATCCACACTTAGCCAATGAAACGCAGCCCACCGAACTGGCTATCCGTATAGGCTTTTTCTTTTTCCTTCCCTAGACGTAAGCGAATGTGAACTTGCGCGATTGCCGCTGCCCTCTACCCGGACGATGCTCAACTGGTAAACGGCACATCGTCTTCCTTTAGCGCCTTCGTTGGGGCAGTCATCAATTCCAAAACCAGGACTAGGGCTTGTTGCTTTGTGCTGGCTTTGGTGTTAAGAAAGGAAAAATATATAGATGGAAGATAAGATCAAGAGACAGTAATGATAACGAGAAAGTCGCCAAATACCACTTGCTTTAGGCGTCCTTCGCCAAGTAAGTTGTGCAGTTCGGGAAATCAGCTCTGTTCAGTTTTCTTCAAATACAGGGATCATGTCATTCAGGGAACGGTGCCGGTTCAGCGCCGCGGCGCCTTGACCGGTAGCGCAAAGTGCAATCAGATATTGCCGTAATAATGAAAGTAGAGTACCACTGCTGCGGTTGCTTTCTTTCAATGTTCCGTTTTGCTAACGTACGTCTGTTTTGTTTTTCGGTTTCTTAAACAGGGATATGCGAAAGAGACGTACCAGCAAGGAATACAGAGTCGTCATCAACAATGTTACGCACCCATAATGCTGGGGTTTAGCTTTCGGTAAAAAGTTCTTACAGAGCCGACAGAACGAATTGAATAAGGGTTAGGGGGGCAAAGAAGAGGTTTTGCTTTTCCTCACCCTACTTCAAGTGCCTACATAAGAGCGGATTACAATATTTGCAATGGGGACGCGAGTCGATCATGTCTTGAAATTAAAAGGATAAGGGCGAAATGTATAAAGTGTTGCTGTCGAGTTAGGCAAGAGGGCTAACTGAATGACCCACGCGTGATTATTAGATGCGAACAGGTTAATAAATGCCCAGAAGTCGTAAAGCTCAACATAGATTCAAGACCTGATCAAGCAATCAGGACCCTATTCTTGCGTAGATTTCGAACTTTTCGAGCAGGAAACTGGCACCAATTTAGCTTCCGGCTTAACGCTGGCGCGTAACTTGACATCTTTGAGTGCTAGTACTCCTGAAGGGTCAGAGCCAAGACACGATCTACGTAATTAATATTGAACAAAATTGAAGAATAATTATAGTACACGACAATAATATTGCTTGAAACTTGGAGTACAATACCTAGATAAGAAAAAAACAGTAACACGACCTTTGTAGTACAACTTTTGCAGGTGATCAACAACGCTTGCTCCTATCGTTGTTTGCAAAATTCGTTTGTCTTGAAGAACAGAAAATACATAAAATAGCGCTCTAGAAGACACTGTGTTGAGCCCTTGAATAGATCATCGCATAGGTCGTTAAACGAAGTTTGATACCATGAAAACCTGTGAGGTCAGAAACTGTGAATAGTGAGAAAAACTTCAATTTTACAGCTGCCGGTGCAAGGCTGTATTTGAGTCTAGCTAACTTTAAGTTTCGTATTACTACTGACGTGCTTTAAATGTAGAGTAGTATATAAGAAACAAAAACGATGTTCTAAACTACATTCAGAAAGTCACGAAGCCTTGGGCGAAAATTTATTATTTTTAAAACGTTTTCCAATTCGCTTGGAAGCATGTGCTTTAAAGGACGCAATTGAAAACTTGCATACGAGGTTTGCCTTAGAGAGCATGTAAGGCCCATAGGATTTTCACTAAAGTTTGCCCTCCTTTAACTGTTTATTTGTTATTTCAAAGCATATATTACGAATTATATATGCGTATAGTTCAAATATGAGAAGTGCTAGTGCACAGGGGTTCGTTTTTAGAAACGTGCATGGTCTCTAATAAGAATATGCAGCTTTCGCTACACATTGTACATGTTATTGTATGATGAACATGATAACATAAAATTGTCGGTATTTATAACTATGTTGTAGCGATACGATGTTCACGGTACAATGTTTTTCGTATACTGTCTTCAGAGGACTCATTTAGAGCGTACGGGAGAATGACGTCGGTGTCAGAGACGCCGTCGGTGATGAGACATGCTGGCCGATGACCTTAGCACAGAGAAGGCTTTTCAACTTTTCCCGTCGATTTTCGATGATCCAGAGTTCCGGCTCGGCGGAGTTGAGTTTGCGCGAAGGGCAAGTCTTCCCTTTAAGGAAGAGCTTTCCAGCGAACTCCACTTGTTTCATCGATCAGCCAATATCCCACTGCTGGCAGCGACGTCGACGTCCAGTCTGTAAAGTCACAGTCCAATCTTCCTGAACGGCAAAATAAATGAGAATGACCTAGAAGCGGTAGCGCCTTCAATCATTGTATAGCCTTCCCTGAACATGTGCCTGTAAAGCCATACCGACCTGTGGCAAACCGGCTCAGAAAATTAGCTGAATAGAAGTGTCGAAAAAAATATAATGTGTCCGGTACCATGACATAAAGTACACAATGGCGGCTATTTTTAACGCGGGTACCTAGAAATGTATCTATTAATAGAGAGAGTTTGTCTGTTTGAAACTCGCTTTAGTAATGGTTTACTGTTATTCAATTTATGTTCCGATAAGCTGACAGGTGATTATTGTAAAAAGTTATTATAACGTTACGGATGTTGGCGAAATATCTCGCATTAAAAACACGAATCTCTATTTTTCGTTTAAACGACCTAAAAATAACGATCACACGACAACAACGCAGATCGACTCTTACCATGGATAAGACTACGGCTACAAAAAAGCTAGCGGTACCGGACAGACGCAGTCAGCCTATCCAGTACCTTAAGAACGTCCCTTGTTCAAGTCCGTGTTAATCATGTCCCTATTTACATGGAGCAACTTGTATTTATTTGTGCCTATATTATAGTAATGTAGGTTCCATTCGATAATGATGCTTAAGTTTCCTGGGTTGTTTTTATTCACGGTTTATTTGTAAGGTGTCCCATATGTCGCCAGAACTGCATATTCAAATAGAATTTCCGACCGGAACTCCACTTATCTAATATTATAATTACTACCCTAAAGTGTACCACTCTTCAGAGCTATGATCTGATATATATTCTGATAAATATATAAAAGATATGTTTTGGATTTTACAGCCCATGTCGTTCGAGACATTTTGTCTATATATCTATATCAGTATCAAATCAGAACAATGGTCTAACTTAATACTAGGATATGCAGTATATATAGTACTGCTATGGACCTAAAACCTAATATATGCTCTTGTACCGTAATACCTGAAAAGAGCCGGATCTTCTTGATATTGAAAACGTTGCGTGTCGAATCTTCGTAGCGATGTCCACTATCAATAAACGTGACCAAAAATTGGTTTTCCTCTTCAATGAGATTCCGCCCACATCTCGAAAGGTTCCCAGCCACTGACCACCCGTTTCGCTCTAACTCGTGTTCCACGTACACGCGATCAGCGACGATATCTAATGCTGGGCCCGTTTTGTGAAGATCTGGATCAAACAGATTTTTTTGGACAAGCTGATGATATTCCCTATTTTTGAGATAGCCCCTGATGCTAATGCGGTAGACTGTTTACCAAACAGATACTGACGACATATTGCTGAGATTGAAACATAGCACTAATGTACAGAATAAAGAAATCTTCGTCAGGCAGCTAGTTTCTACAAAGAATATCTATATTGCATGGTATAAGTTTTCTCTTCACCTCTGTTAACCTATTTTTTTTTTTATTAAAGTACCATTCATGGATGCGGCTTAATTTCTAAGGCCCCTTTTTGATAATGCTTGACGTTTTCTCGAAAGGCATACGCTGAACAATTTGAATAAGAAAACGGTAACAATAAAAAAAATAAAAATGACTAGGCATTAAATCGTTAACATAATGTATCAACATGTATATACATTCACTATAGAAGCTGCTTTTGCGTTATAATATTCTACAGATTTTTTGCTATTTTTAGCCTTTTTTGCTGGCCTCAAACCGCGAAAATAGACCGCAGCCAGTAGTCGGTTCTACGAAGGCCGAAAACCGAGATATCACAAAGGATTTAGACCTTCACGATCGAAACGCTGCAGATGATGTTTTTCTTCTCGATTTCCAGTATGATCTTTCACCTGTCTTGTTCATTTGTTTTCCTCAAAGCTTCACTAATTCTCGTCACTTCAGTCAATAGCAAGTATGATAGAAGCCAATTAGCTAACTATAAGTGGATTTCCCACCTAGCTCTTAATTCTGGAAATATTTCGTTGATCTGTCGACTTCCGCTAATACTGGACGTACGGCTTCGCCCTCATGCGAACTTTGCTTGTGTTTGTTATAAACATAAAATACAAAAACATTAGATATGAGATGGCCCTTGCACAGTTTCCTAGGAGAGTCATCCTTTAACAGCTACAACGGTATCTAAACGATTAGTTTCTCGGATTGATATAACACAAGTTTATATCATATAAGGATGAGGTTACAGCAAACAATCGAATTCACCTAACACTTTAAGGCTACTATTTTTTTAGCTATAAGGTATATAAGTTACCGTTTGCATCTTTGGCGCATATATTTTTCCTGGCATCAGTGTTTCGCGTAATGTTGATTACCACTTCACGAACTTATCCACCTCCTATCTCAGCTTGCATATCTTACAGCGTCAGCTTTCGTATGCAGTATTGTGACAGGAGACTGAGACTCCTGTTTCCTTGAATACCGCGACTTCGCTCACCGTCGGCTGTCAAAACATATCTATACATACACATATATATATATCCAGGATCTTGTGGTCACTTCCGTGTGCGACAAATGGCTAAATTAACCGGAAGGCTTACCAGAAAAACTTGTGATTGCAAGAGATTTTTTTCAAATAGAAAATTATTTTTGTTCGTCGAAAAAAAAACACCCTGACAACTAGTTCGGGTCGCAAAGGTGTTAAACTAACCCAGAATTCGATATCTCGCTAGTTGAATCCTAATAGAATTTGTCTGACAGCATCAATTATGCTTAAACGCAAGCTTTGCACTATTGGAGTTCTGTGTTGAGCTAAAGCATTGGGTCCTCGTTGATCCTTACCACGACGCATAATAGGCAAACAAATCGAATAAATACTTGAGAATTTTCTCCCCAAGAATTCCCTTCGACGAAAATAGTCCCCAAGCCGCGTCTGTCCACTTTCAATAGCATTAACGCCCTCAAAATATGGTCAGGTGTATATTGTTTGTGTTTTTACTATGGATCTTTCGTCTGGTCTAATATCGCTTATAGTATAGTGAACTGACAGCAGTTGGGATTGGACCTACTTAGTATGCTAAAAGGTGCAGACGCCCACTGTCAGCGACATGAAAAGTAGCGTGGTCGAAACGACTGATTCCGTTTCGGCTGGTTTCAATACGATTCTAGCTTTGTTATGTTTATAGTAAGTGCCCCCTTCGCGGTGGAAAAATATCTATTAGAACCAATTGAATTGAAATATGTACAATAGGGGATCCTCTTAAAGTGACGTGGCAATCCATACTACACGTTGAAAAGGTGCAGGTAGGGAAAAAAAGGTTAGGGAACGGTCATCGATATCTATATACGGGAAAAAGGCAAGCTCTTTTATTGATTCCGCAATTACCTATTACAAAAAAAGGCAACGCGTAGCATGTGTCAGTTACCTAAATGCACATTTTAATAATAAATATGTTTACTGATTGTCTGCGTGCGGACGTGAGTTCGGCAGGATTGCGATTACGTTGTTCCCATAAATTGGTTTCTCTCATAAAAAAAAATGTTATATAAATGAAGATGAACTGTTATACGACATTCATTTGTGGGAACTGCATGCATGACTGACCTGGACCGGGCTAATGGAGACACTTACCATCGTACTCAACCCAGGTAAATCCTTTGTCTGTTCCGAGCGCCACCTTCTGCACGTACAATGGCAAGCCGAGTTAAGACCTACACCTCGGAGCCAACTCGATTTGACAACTCAATATATTCTTAGTGACGATGAAGGTTTGGAGAGACATACCTTAAAATGGAAATCGTTAGCCGAGCACAATGAGCTTGGTGGAAGAATATGTCTTCCTCGGAGGAATAATTCGTTCTTTGGCCGAACAGGAACGCCCCTTGGAACATAATCCTAATGGGACCTTTGTCTAGGACCAACTGTCGGACAGAGGCGCTGCTAAACCAGGAAAAAGATCCCGCAAAATTGAGTGCAGAACTGTCGGGCACTTACTATCGCATTCAAGTAAGCATAATATATATATTCTAAATAATTTTGAATGAATAATAAATAAGGAAGAGAACTGCTGAAACAAGGACAGTCACAAGCATATACATGGTTTACATGTACTAAGTTTCAAAAAGATTACCTATTTTAAGGTACAAAAGTAGCTTTTTGTTTACGCACTCGGTCGATCAGTTGCATTTACGCGTCGTTATATTAAAATCTAGTTCGTCCTTAATTATAATTACTATAAGAATGTATTCGAGAATATGTTGTTTTTCCTACACAGTCGGCGCTACCTGCATTCATCCACCCTGCATTACACCCTTTATATAAAATCGTGTACTATTTAGTATAATAACACTCAAGTGTATCATCACTGTTCAGAGTATTTGTTATTTATAGATTTGACATGGGGTGTTTTTAAACGGTCGGGCTGTATGCATGGGGCCGGTTGTTCCAGCCAAGCAGATTTCGAGCAATATGGAAAGGCACGAGTGAAGACCTAGAACATGATCTTTTCGATGCTCTAGTTTTCACTTAAGCCATATTCTCTGTTCTACTGCAACGGCTTGGCCCTTTCCTCTACCGTTCTTTTCCAAAGTCATTTATACTAATGTTGTAATCGAGTTATTTTTTATAGCGCTTCTCATCACTTTTCAGTTTCACTTTTCATCAGTTTCCTGAATGCCGCTTGAGTAGTCAGCTTGGCTGATGGTGGTTAGTAGAGTATCCCACCCATCTACTCACAAGTGACGCCCATAGAGATTTTACTGTGTCATAGTAGATTGCTGTAGCTGCCCATAGCTATCTAGGTGGCCCTGACTGTCTTATGCAGCTGAAGAGTTTCGACACGATATTCGAATACGAACGTCAATGTAGTGAACATATTGGATGCCTTTCGACATAGATTTTTATAAAATAGGATAGGCTGCTAATGTTGGACGGGATCAGAGTGTAAGCTTGCTCTGAACTTCAAAAAATCCATAACTAATTTCTGCTAGTAGTAATCGCCCTATACTAATTGTTTTCGTGTTCAGTCAACGACACGAGTACCAGACGATGAAAAGTCCGACAGACTAGAATGTTTATCTATTATACACTTGATGAGTTTTGTCTCGGTGAAGTCCCTATTCGTCTACTAACGGAACGTTCTAGAGTTAGCGTAACAGCTTTCGCCCCGCTGCTGGGGCTATCGTGTTTCTTAATTTTTGCTTGTTTTCGTCTCTTGATTCTATCCTAATTATCTGATGTTTTATATTGACTGGCCGCGTCTTCTGTTGATTCTAAACGCGATCATTGGCCATTTGCGGAACAGTTGTATACTGTTTTATTTTGTACGTTTCTGCACAGTATTGGCATGTGTTAATAGGGAACTAATCGATCTAGCATAGCCCTTCCGTTTAGATAGTGGCTCAATCAATTCTGTTTGGCCTATGTTCTACCAACCTTATCTACATACACATCCACCAGAATAAATTACTACAATAGTCACTTGTAGCAGATGTTGCTGCTACTGCTAGCTTTTTCTGGCCATGGTACAATGGCACTCCTGAGCTCGCTTCGGTATCCCAACGTTTAGCGGACAACGTTCGAATAACACCCAGGACAGTGTGTGCCAAATCCTGAAAACCCTCTCGTCTTTCCTTTCTAATTCTATATTTCTTCTATGCATTGCCAGTAGAACCAATCTAATTTCCAACATCCTCAAGAGGCCAGAACAGCCGAGAGGTCCAGTGAATGGCCAGCTCGCATAGGGTGTGATCGTCGCACACACGCTACAATCCCGTCTGCTTGCCTAACTCTACAATGCTTATCCGATAAACAGAGAGCTCCTGCAAACCAAGTAATCGGTCTTTGTCAGTTAGGTTGCTACAGTCACAGGAACGCCTCCCCATAGGGCGCGCCGACCGAGGCTTGCCAAGTCTGAACGGAATGGTGGCTGCTGTACTCCATCTCAACATAGTGAAGGACTGACGCCGCCAAGGGCCTTTCTGGGACACCTGTGGTCAGCACTGAGCACCTTGTACCTCACGGGCAGCTCGAGGCCTCGGAAAAGCGTGACAGACCTGCACACCCGTTGTACGTAGTAGCCGGTGTAGCAGAGATTCAACAACCCGTTACTCTCTGACACATCAGCCAGTGCTCTATCTAGCACGTTTCTACCGGCCTTTCTATAATAGCGGCATCCAGTATAGATGCTGTGCACGAGAGCCCGCAAAACTGAAGGTCATAGCTACCGAAAGAAACTCAGGGTCCAGGTATTAGATTGCGCAAAATAAAAAACCGGCAAAGAACGCAGGAGTTGCCTGCGAACATACGGACGCACCTGCATCTGCCACGTTTAGAAGGGCAGCAGGTGGCCCAAAGGAAGAAAGTTAACCGAAACTAAGGGCGAAGCTGTCCCTCCACCACTCTCCCCGGGGCCTTTCCCGTGCTATTGACGAATCTGCATTGTCACATGTGCACAAGAGCTGTGATTCTGATGTGGCATCGTGCGTTTCTATGTTTCAAAAGGACAAGCCTTTTTCTAACCCCGAAACCTCCAGCGAAGCTAGTATCCTCGTCTGTCTACGAGCCAGGCATCTGCTGCAACGCTGTCATACCATTTTTGAACTGTAATAGAACCTGTAAAGGTGGCCGCGTTTAACCGAGCTGATGGCTGGCACCAACCGTCGCTAGAGAAAGCTGCGGTATTGAATTCCAAACTCTGCTGAATCGTGTGACCTGCCTCCTTCTTCCGGCTCTCCTATGCGAGGTATCGCTGACATCCTCTACCCGCTGCGTCGTATCGATATCTACCACTTAGAGGATGCGAGAAAGATAGCACGAGGCGATATAGGGGTTTGACGCTGCATTAAAACGGGACAGGGCGGATCCGCGGACTGAAAGATGAACGCCTCCTAACCTAACGGAGTCTCTATTATACGGTTGTTGCTAGGTGTAATTTAGTCTGCAGGGAGCACTCGGCACAGTAATAAGAGGATTTTGTCTATTGAAGGGAAAATGGACGCGCATTGAAGCCACAAAACGCAGATGAAAAAAGAACAGTTGTTTTTGTTTATCCTTGCTTAGAATGTCCCGAAGGAACAGTGGGTTAGCCTTAAGTGAGGGTTGCATATATGGATGTCATAGCACTATGCAATATGACTCTATAAATGGTAATGGTAATACTGACCTATGTTCGCACAAATAGCAGGGAAAACGCTCTTTGAACAATCTCACTGTTGGCTTTACGACATATTTGCCGCCCAATATGTTGTGAGCGACACATGAACTCTAATGTAAACTGATGTCGTAGCGTCATGATTTTGTAAGCGCCATTGCATCGGCGCTATTTTCGATAGAAAAAATTAAAGATGTGTACTTCATGTGTTATTCTATATTATCTTTTCTCACAGTGAATACAAAGGAAATTTAACCCAATGACAGTCTAGTCAACGTCGTTTTTATGTCTATATGTCTAAAATATATCCTTGCACACGTTTGAAACGTGCGATGAAAACTCGAACTTCTCCCTAACGGTGCGTTCTCCAGAATAGATTTCCTCAACTCTGCACATGATTGTTAAAATGTATTTTTATGGAATCAACAGATCATCACTGAAAAAGAATCATACGCATTACCAAATGCGTTTGTGTCTAAATGAAACGTGATGTATACGTTGAACATCGACGTTCCTACTTGATAAAGTAATCAAAGAAAAGATGTCACGTTTCCGGTGCATGCATTTTCTCTACAAACGTAATTCTCTTGCGTAGTTAAACTTAGTAACTAAGGTAGTTAGTTAAACTTACATATAGCAACGATGAA